AGGGTTGACATCTAGTAACACAAGTCTTTCTCCTTACTCTTTTCAAGGAGTATCTTTGATCGTTCTGGTCCCTTTATCCTTCCGTAAAACTTTTAGAGTAGGCTGGTCAAGTTCTGTTTTAACATGTTAGGATTTTGTTTCCACTTGCTCTGAATTAAAAGATCAGTCTGAGGGGAGCTGACATTTCAGGGATAGAAAACCTTCCTGGATGTCATGTGTATAAATCCTTTCTTAAAGGACCTCCTTAATATCTTTTGTGAAAGTTTATAGATATTTTTCCTAAAATTTTTATACAAGTTGTTCCATGATAGTTAGTCTAAGAAATCATTTTTGATTGCTTTTATAAAAGGTTAGGTTTAAATTAATGCTTTTTGAAAAAAATTCTTGCTGGTATATAGAAATGGAGTTGACCTTGTGTCAATATGCTTGATTATTATCAGTATTCTTCATTAATTCTGTGTGTTGGAATTCACAAAAATACTCTGTGACTTGTGATGGTTTCGTTCCTCTTCTTTCTTCTCCCACCTCCTGGTTTGTGTCTTTCTTGTGTATATCGACTCCTACCACTAATAAAATGCTCACTAAAAGTAGAGAAAGCACAGTGTTCCTATTACCGTGAACTATGCAATGCACCTCTAATTTACTTGTAAAGGAAGTTCCCATCTGCTTATTTACTAAGATTTTCTTTTCTTTGTGTTTTTGGGTCATAAACTGATATGGAATTTTCTTCCATGTAATCCAACTTAGAGTAAGATATACTTTATTATACATTTCTGAGTTCATCTTGCTAATGTGTATTTGGCATTGTTGCATCTGTGTTCCTGAGGTTGGTCAGCTAGCTTCCTTTCTTATACTGTCTCAATCTGATTGGGATATATTATCAATTTCATGAAATTTCCTAGTCTATTGTCTGTTTTTATAGCCTTTGATAGAATTTGTATCATATTAGAATTACTTGGCTTTTGAATAATTGTTAGAACTCACTAAGAAAGCCAGCTTTTCTTATTTTTCTCCTTGGGAGGAGTTTCTAAATATAAGTTATTGAAACTTTTTGATACAATTGACCTGTAATGAGTTTTGGTGCTTTATACTTAGTGGAATTTTGTCCATTTCAAAATATTCGGATTCATTACCTCACAGTTGTTCAATTTTTTTAAAATTTATGATGCATCCTGTGTCTCATTCTGAATATTTTTAGTAACTTTTTTGCTTTATCATGATCAGTCTTCAGAAGTTGGCCAATTTTAATAGTCTTTTTAAAGAACTAACTTTTATTTTTGATGGTATTTTCCATTGTATCTTTACTTTTCACTTCATTAATTAATGTGTAATTTTGGTTAAGCTTCAATCTTCTTTTTAAGGAAAATCATTGAAGGACATACTTTTTTTCATAAATTTACAGATCCCCTTTTTAATAAAGAGCAAGCCAACAATTCTAGCTTTGGTTGGCACTTACCTCCAGTCAGAATGTATGAGTCATTTTGCATTCATTTTTGTTATTTTTAGAGTTACTCTCTATTTGCGGCATTTGGTAACTAGAGCTCTATTTATGGTAGGGATGGAAAGCTTCTTTTCATAACACATCTATTCTGTCAGAATGTATCCAGGTCCTTTATTACTAATGACACAATCCCAGGCGGGGCAGTCTTAAAGAGAAGTCGGTTTCGTCTCACTGTTTTGGTGCCAGGTGAAAGGGCCATGCCTGCCGATGGCCTTTCTAGGAGTGGAGTTCTAAGGCTCTCCAGGGTATGACGTGGCAAGAGACAGGGAGCACACATGAGTCTCCGCTGAGGGGAGTCTCCTCTCCCCTTTTTCCTATAAAGCCACCTGTGGGGCTTCACCCCGATGAATTTACCCAGTCACCTTCACCCTCCAAGGCCCCACTTCTGAACACATGGCCAGATGAAGCTTCTCCCTCTTACCCTCTCATCATGGTGATTAAACTCTAGTGTGAGTTTCAGGAGGAGCAAACCATGTTCAAACCATATGAGTCATTTCAAAGAAAATATTCAATAGGTCGGGAATTTAGCTCAGCAGCATGAGCATCTGCCTGGCAAGCGTGAGGTCGTGAGTTCAATCCCTGCTACCGAACAAACAAATGAACAAACAAAACAAAACAAAAACTATTAAACAGAGCCGGGAGTGGCAACACGCACATGTAATCCCAGGACTAAGGGAGACTGAGGCAGTCTCAGCCCACTCTGGGAAGCTGGGTGACTTGGTAAGATCCTGTCTCAAACGTGGAACAAACAAAAACAGCTGAGGAAATAGCAGTGCAAAGACCCTCAGGTCAGTCCTGTGTACCCAAGCCAAACAAACAAGCAACCTTAGGTAAATAATTGAACACGTGGTGGAAAAATCAACTAGGGAATCCCAAAGCAGTATGTTGTACTTCAAATATGAAAAGAAAAGGGTTGTGAGGGTGATTCATCAGGGCTATTGTTCAGGAAACCAGTGCCATAGGCAGTGTGCTACCTTCACGGTGGCATCTTACTGCCTGTGTAATAATCCAATCCCAGTGGGTAATTTCTGCAGGTTATGGAAACCAAGGCAGGTTTGGAGGAGATGGACCTGCATGCATGTTCTAGTGTCCAAAAGCAGAGTAGTGTTTTGAGAATTCTAAATTTTGGGTTAGTAGCTAATTATGGAAGTGGGGTTAAAATGAACAATTGGGTCATGTGAGAGAGACTGGATTCAGGAGGAGCTACACAAGGGCACAGTGACCAGGATGGACCAGGAGGGACGTGACGCAAGACACGTCACGTCAACCACCTTTCTGCTATTATCAGAGACGGTGATGTGGCCAGCAGGTGGACGTAAGTGAGGAGGAAGATTCCATTGTGACTTTAGTCATACATTGGACAAAGTCATCATGAGCCTTTAAAAATGACAGAAACAAATGTGACAGATGACAATATATTTACAAGGGCTTGGAGTTATTTTGGGAAACATCATTCTAAGATTGTGTTGGGTAATGAATTGTCTGCTAAGAGGAAAAGTTGTAATTGTTTGCCACAAGGCTCTATGCTGTTCACAACTTTATCAAACATGCTTGGTGACATAACATTAATTAATATTTCATGCTACAGATGTTCATTTGAGAAGGTGTTGACACACTGCAGCTAGCGATTCGGGAGGTTGAGCGTGGACATGCCGGGGCCAGGGAGGTCAGTGCCTCTCAGGCTCGCCCTAATGTTCCCACCGTGGCAGGGTCCAGTGAGCAGACAGCCTGCCCCTTTCGAGCAGAGCCTGGGGGGGGGGGGAGTGTCTTGCTTCAAGTATAACTGATTCCCGTTTCCGTCTAGTCTTACCTCCTGTTATAAAGATTCATACAAAACCCGCCTCTGTTCTGCAGTCCATTTCTATTTCATGGTTTTATGTAATGTAAAATTTTAACTAACAAAATCTTTTAATACAAAATAAATCTTTGGGGCTGGGAGGTAGTTAATGGTAGAGCGTGTGTTTGGCATGTGCAAGGCTGTAGTTTCAGTCCCCATTACACACACACACGTACACCCACAAACACATACACACAGACACACACACAACTTGTTTGACTTCTTATTCTCAGAGTTATTAATGGATATTAAAATAAATATACTTGTCTAGGCCATGGAATGTAGGGACATTATTAACTCTAAAAACTTTTTCTAGTCTCCTTGTTTCATAGATAAGGAAACTGAGTCATATCTTCTTCTTCATAATACCTGCCCTCTCCTAATCTAAACATTTCAAATAAAAGAGTCCAAAAAATCTATTACCACATACAAGGCTTATATCATCTTTTTAATGTCATTCTTTACATTTCTAAACTTTAAATTTGAATATTGAATTTTTCTAATTTTTGACAACTGGTAATCGAGCTGTTAGACTTCATAGAAAAGAATAATAAGATTTTGGGTTAACTTATTTCCAGTAATCTCAATAAAAACACCTCATAAAAGTTTTCAGTATTCTAAGTTGCTGAGGAAGTGTTTGCAGGTTATAGTTTATACTGAGTGTCAGGTTCATTTTCTGGGTTTTAATCACACCCTAGAATATGTAGTGCTTTCATCCATAGACTTTTATCTGTATGTGACTTTTGTTCACAAGGGAAAACTGCTGAGATGTAGCTTGGTGAGAGAGTACTTATCTAGCACGCATAAAGGCTCAAGTTCAATCAGAAGAAACTGAGAGCTGATGTTTTTCAGGCTTAGTCTATGACTTCTTATTTTCCTGGGTCCAAATTTCTTCAACAGGAGCCAGGAATACAGCTCAGTGCACAAATGCCTGCCTGGCAAGTGCAAGGTCCTGAGTTGGATTCCTGGGACAACAACAACAAAATTCTTCAACGTACTTGCAATTCTGCTGCTCTTGTTCTGACTACTTCAAGGAGCTGTTATACAGAATCGTGTCTAGGAAGTTACTTAAACTGATCACGCATTTTACAACCATGACAATTACATGAACGGACAGAAATTCAGTCTCATGTATTCCCTCTGGATCATCACTCTTGCAAAAGTTAGTCATTTCCCCTTCTATTTACTTTTAACACATTAAGCTGTGGTTGTTACGAATGTGACCAGCTAGACACGTTTCTGATAGAGACATCTACTTTTCTTCTGTAAGGCAGATGTGTGTCTTCCTAACATGAATTACTGTATGTGTAAATGTGTAGGTTTGGGTTTTCAGGGTGGCATTCCTGAAAAGGGTGTGTGCACATGGGAAGGACACATTCCCTTCTGAAAGAACCTGGAGCTAGGCAGGACTTGAGCTAAGCTGATCGGCAGATGTGCATTTCATGGTTAGAGCCCACCACACGCAGCTGCCCACTGTGTGGTGGTGGCACTGCTTGCTTGGAGAGGGCCCGGTGGCTGCTGGCGGTTTAGGGTTAGAAGCTCTCTGGATCTAGGAGCCCTGGCTGGCTGTCTTCTGCCTGGAATTACACATTCAGTGCATCGACTCTGAGTACTTATCTTTATTACTTTTTAAAAAAAATTCTTCCTTAATTTTTGTTTCAGGATCCCAGAAATGAAGGCAAGAGACACATGTCACCAGAGCCAGGAGAAGGGCTCCATCCATGGATATCTGACCACCTACTGAGATGAGGGGGAGAAACACCAAGTCCTGGGCCGCTACAACTCCTTCCCCTGCACCTGCACAGAGAAACACAGAAGCTCTGAGATGAAAATAAGTTAATTTTGCTTTGGGGAGAAGCCAAAGACTCTGAGCCAGGCAGTACTGCTTTACTCTAAGAACTTCTGTGGGTTGCTGAATCCCAAGGCAACCATCATCTGGGAGGAGCGCCCTGCTGCAAGGAACAGACAGGAGACCCAGCAATGTTCTCTGACATCAGGTGATGGGCGGATGCTGACGGGAAACAGGCCTTTGTCAGCCAGGAAGAGCTGAACTCCATGTTTGAAGAGAACACAAGCAAAGCACTGGAACAGAAGGAAGAACCGTACTTCCATGGTTTTCAAGGACAGGTATTCTGGGAGAGGTGACAATGCAGACTGAGGAGAATAGGTAAATGAATTCGTGTTCTCCGTAAGAATTCACGTTGGGATTTTAAGTCTTGCTGGGTTCTATGAAATGAAACAGAGCTTGGCAAAAGCAAGGGGATGATCTCTAGAGGGAAAAGTGAATTAGCTGTGTGCATAGATGCTTGCTTGTGAGTTAGTATAGACTGTTTCAGTCCGAGAGTTGAAAATAATTTCTTCATGTTTGTCCAGGTAGTTTTGGGTTTTCTGTTTCCTGATGTGGTTATTGGGATGCAGAGCTGACTGCATTCTTCATAACGATATGTTATTTCCTCATTCTTAAAAATGTATGTGTTGGTACTTCTTACTACCGTAAGATTATTACAAAAATATAAAAATAGATGGCTGTGAAGCATTTGGAATTGTAGGAGGGGAAGGAGTGAGAGAGAGAGAGATATGATATTTTCCTTTTAAACCTGATGATAAAAGATACTACTACTTTCTCAAAGACTGTTGTTATTTTATAGGAACATATGCTTATTTTTCAAGTGTGAGAATTAATGTAAAAATGTATGTTTGTTATTGGTTAATTTCTGTGTGCTCCTTTTTCTTCTGAAAACATAACCAAATACTTTTAAAATTACTTTTGACTAAAAAAATTACTTTTAATTGATATATTCAAGTAATATGTTCAAAAATGAAACATTCAATGGTACTGGGGAAGAGAAACCCCACATCCTGTAACCTAATGATACGAGCACATATAAAGACCTTTCCATTTTGCCTTTCCAAACCTGTAACACTGAAGAAAAACACTATTTTTATCCTTACTCTTTGGTCATTTTCCTCATTAGTTAGAGAAATTTATGTTACTTTTGCAGTAGAACTTGCCTTCTAGCATACTAGAATTAATTTTATGACCATTTTTAAATACGTGGATATAATAAGGGTATAGAAACTATTGTATGGGTTTGATTTTTATTGAAAAATTGAAAATTTTTTCTGTATTTTCTAGTACTTGAATAGCTCACTTGAGATTACTTTTATTACCATTACTGTTATTAAATTGTTTAAATATCAGAGACATATACTTATCTACCTTTACTGATACTATCTTGTAGTATTTTTGTGGGTTGCTTTTAAGCTTCTAAAATACTTCCACATTAATGCTCCCTCCCCCAGTTTTGGAAGCAGATGATTTTTCAAATCTACTGGTTGACTCATCTGTTATAAGTAATTTCATTTGTGCATTTAATTGAAAGGGCAGTACTCATATAGAATCATAGATGTTGGCCAGTAACCAGAATTGACTTGGAGTACCTATTGGATGTTATTAAACCAACAGATTATGTTGTCTTTGCAATCCCTAGGTGATAAATTCTATCTATAATTAGAAAGAAGTATGAGTTAACTTTGCTTTTTTGCAGAGATTTACATGATTTAGGCTTTAAATGCTTTACAATTCCCAGTATGCTTGAAGGTAAATTATTACTAAATGGCTGTAGCAGCATTTATGAATGGAGTAGAGGTGTAACAGTGAGAGCATTGTCAAGACTTGTAAAACTTGTCTAACTAAGACTTTAAATAGATAAAATTGGGTTGTCTGGTCTCTTCGTTTCTCAGAAAGGCTATACTGAGGGCTGAGAAGGGTCCTGTCTGGACTGCTTGCATTCTAGGGAGCGGATCCATGAGTCCACTGGTATGTTCCCGAGAATCTCAGCCTTCACACACAAGACCTTCCCAAGCACTGGTTTATGCACACATTTGAGGGAGAAGAAGTTAAATTGTCTATCTAGTATGTCATCTAAGATGTTATGCACATTAAAATAAGAGCAAATATGTTGTTGAATGCACCCATCTGAGACGTCCCTGCAGTGTAGAGGATCTCCTTGGGGAGGGCTGCTTGGAGACTCTCTCCCTGCCTGTTGCCCTCAGGACGCTGCTGGGACAGTGGTATGTGACGGCACCAAGGGGAATTCCAGGTCTCGGCAGCATGGGCAAACCCCTGAGCAGCCACGGAGGGCAGCAGTGCTAGGTATCTTGTGCCTAGGATGGGACGCATGTCGAGCTGATTGTCCCAGGTGGCAGTGCTGAAGAGAAGACTCAGTTTGGTTAGGGAGAGACCTTTTTCAGTCCTCTTGCCTCTTTCCAGGAAGAACGAGACATTTCTCTTTTTTTGGAACAGTGAGCCCTTTTCCCATTCCGTCTTCTGCTTGTCTTTTGTTACTAGAAGGTTTTGCTGGATGGTTTGAGAAGACGGACATTTAACGGGAGTGAATTTTTATGAAAATAAAGGAGAACCAAAGAGTAATCATTGTGACAGACTGTAGACTCAAGTTTTTGAGTCTGGAGCATTGCTAGTTGAGAAGACTTCTAGAAGCTGGGCATACAGCAGCACCTGCAGATGGTGGGGTGAGGGTGATGGTGGCCACCTAAAGGATTTCTTGGTTTGAATGTCTTGGGTGTCTGTGTGATGTCAGTGCCACAGTCCTGGCTATTTCCTGGAGCAGCACATGCAGAAGTGGTGAAGAGAGACCCATTAAAGTCACTCCAATGGGTGAGGACCAGCACATCATCTGTCATGGGGGACAGGTGTGTTCAAGGAAGACTCAAAGAGTATGGCCAAACTACATGTGCATGACAGAAGTCTGACATGGCTAACGTTAAAGACCAGATGAACGTTCATTTGACTTGAAGCTTTGGCTGTTTTTGTAGCATAAAACATTTTAAAATAACAGCCAGAATTAGGGTCATCACATTATACAGTAAAATGTCACGGATAGCGAAGGTCCTGACAAATTTCCTAAGAGCATCACCCAATTTCTGAAATATTTATATTAATATTATTTAGTGATATGAATATAACTTAAGGAGAGCAAAATATCTTTTAAAAAATTGACAATGTGTTTTATTAAATTTGACATATCACATAAGCCTAATTTTTTTTAACATCACTCATTTTGCAAAGTGAAAGAGAAAATTGCTTTGGGATTTTCCAGAGGCCCTCTGGGAAATCTCAAGGTCAGTGTGAGATCAACATTTCACTTATGACTAGGTTTCTAGAACAGAATATCATCAGAAATATCAACAAATTTGAACATCTTACCGAGTTGTGCTCTAGGTTTCTGTGAAAAAATAGATACCTATTTAACCAAAATGATAGAAGAATTGAAAAGTAGGTAAGATAGCTTTAGCTCTTTTAAAATAAAAATAGTTGGTCTCTTAAATAATCAAGGACATGAAAAATATGAACAGAGGAAATTATTCTGATAACACATAGAAGTTTTTGTTTCCTAAGTAGATTACCTGAAAAGAAACTTTTTGACAATTTATTTTAAAAACATTTATTTTTAAAAGCTATCCAATAATCCAAGAAAAGTCCAATCATTTATTTTATGAATAAATCCATCCCATTTTAGCCAGTCTTAGTCACATGGTACAGAATTCCTTTTGTGATATTTTCCAACAAGACTTCTACAATTAAAAAAATCTATTCAGATTTTATTCTATACTTTCCTATCTTTCACTATGGAACTATTAAGTCATTTTACTCTAGAATTAGGTTGCCGTGTGTTTCCCAGTAAAACCAGACCTTGCATATTTGTATACAAAGTATCTCCCTTCACCCTTACTTAGTTCATTTACATATATTGATCATAGTTTTTAATGACTGGTAAATTTTTAAGCTGAGAACACTAGCATGTATACAACTGTGAACTATCACATGTCAGTATTTTAGCAGACTAGAACATTTTATACATACACTATTTCAAAATTTCTATAAGCTATTTTCTAGTAAAATTTTTATATTTTATATTTATTACCTAACCCAGATATAGTTTATCTCTCTATACCATGTAAACATCAACCAAAATTGTATAAATTTAAATGTGTTCTTAATAATTAATGTCAATAGTTTATCTTACTTAGAAATTGCTAATGAATACTTGTTAATTCACATAATTCTAAAGACACAGGTTACCAAAAGATTTTGAAAACTTTTTAGCCAACATATTATGGCATGAAACAAAGGTGGCTGTCATCTCATGTTATTTCCCTGTTAACTGTCTTTACACAAAAGGAAGAAAACAAAACAAACCCTGAAAAAGTCAAATTTATGGTTCTTTTTGTTGGTTTTCCTGCTGTGCCAATATATATATATATATATGAAGCAGTAGATATGAAGCAGTTCATTCTACATTTCATCTTTACTTAAGCATTTGTTCATAGGTTAAATTCATAAGTTAAAAAAGATCATTTTAGCATTTGGTTATAATGTAAATTTATTTGATTAGTAAATCTGCATATAATTATGGTATTATATTTAATGCTGATAAATCATAACTCTCACTCATTTTTATTAAAGCAGTACATCCAAAGTGTTCTTATTTATTAAAGATTTCCTCAAATCAAATGAGCTTAAAAAGAGTTGGATTAGTTCCTGTATTTCTGGAAGGTTTAGAAATAATTTATATATGTGAGTATCTGTTAGTCAAGTTTGAATAGGAGAACTCCTTTGAGGGATTTCATAAGCTAATTTGGCAATACCTTCCAGGTATTGACAGATGCAAGGTATACCTAACATACATGAACATACAGACAGATATAAATAGAGATGTTACAGCTTTAATTCCAAAATTTTATCCTTGAGCGAGATACAGTAAAGCAATAAATACTCACTGGTTTATATAATTTTTTTGGGGGGGGGCCATAGGACATTGTAAAATATCCTTAGTAAAATCATGCCATAAATTCAAAGTGAGTTTTGAAGGGGTGGGACATATGGTCATCACAGGCTAGAGGGGTGAAGGAGAGGTTCGGTCCACTGAGAAGTCCCATATCCCTCCTAACAGCACCTTGCCCTGCGTTAGAATCCCAGACCCCAACCTGGCCTCTGGTCCACGGACAGAGATGCCTGAGACCCTCCTCACTCAGCCTCTGTTCGTTTGGGGCTCTAATCCGGCCTGTAGAGCAGTGGTGGTAAATCTATGGATAGCTGTTATTTGTTTTTCTTTTAAGACAAAAGATGTTAATGAATGAGTTGTT